CAACAAAAGCAGCAAGCCTGAAGCCCCACCACCAACTGTGCCAGTCCTGGAAAACTGGAGAGGAACGTGCCAAGAATTGACCTGGAGGTCCAGGGCCACCATCCAGGCACCCGGCCCCAACAGAAGCCGGACAGGAGACAACAGTCCTCCGAGGAGGGCATAGAATCCAGGGCGCAGACTGAAGAAGTCCAGAAGAACCGCAGATGCGAAAGGCCCATGTCTGCAAAGAGCAGACGGGAACCCCAGAAGGATGGGGCGGATCGACCACGTCCAACGCACCCACTAAGATGACATGACGAAGCGCAGGGGAAGAAGCCCACCCCGCCAGCTCTGAACCCCCCCAAAGGGGGAGAAGCCATCCACCGATGCCACCAGAGGCCGGAAGACAACCAAAAGCGCCCACCAACAGCGGGACCATGCAAGAGTCAACAGAGCAAGCTGCTCCCCCAGCGCCCCGTCAACAGAGAAGAGAACAGAGCCCCTTCCGAAAGAAAAAGTACACATACACATATACATACACATACATATATATATGTACATACACATACACATACACATACACACAAGGTATGTTACATACACATGTGTATACACATATGCACACACATACAGCATACACATGTACATGCATACACACACACATACTCTTTAAAAGAAAAGTACAAGCCGCCGACCAGTGGGCAGAGAGCACCACACTGACCAGGCAAAGAAGGCACAAAACTGCATCAAAAGGCCCACCTCGACAACAAAACCTCAAAGTCCCAGCACGACCACAACATGTGCCAAGACCCAAAAAGATCAGTCTGCAAGCCAGGAAGACCCTGGAACTCCAGAAGACAGAACCGGGTCACACACAAGGAAACAAAGCCCCCTGAACCCACAAAGGGGGCCCAAGAGGAAGAAACCTCTGGAATGTAACCAAAGAACCCAAAGGAACCCGGAATCGCACCAAGGGGAGCTCAAACCACCACATTTGCCGGCGGAGAAACACCACAGAAAGGCAAAGCACAGTGCCCAGACAGAACCCCCAGGGAAACGGTCATAACAGACCGAAAACTGAGGGACAAGGTGTGGGAGCAAGCATAACAGCCAGGGACACTGAGCCCAAACCCAAGGGCCCAGACCCAAAACAGACAAAATGGGAAACCCGGTGTAAAATCAACACCCAAACGTTCCCAGAGGAACAGGTAACGGGCAGAAAACGCCAGAAAAGCAAAGAAACGACAACAGGAGAATAAAACCCCTGAAAAAAGGTGAAAATTCACTTAAGAAGCTCTCTCGCACACCCAGGCTCCTGTAAACAAACCACAACGCCGCCCTGGTGGCTACGCCGGGAAACCGACAGACGAAAATGGCCGCCAGAACAGAGGGCTGTGACCGACGCTAAAGATACGAAAACATGCCAGCAAAAGTGGGAAGCAAGCAGACTGGATGGGCGAAAAACTCCGCCCAAAAGCAGAAAACCCAGGCAGGGGCAAACCGCCCCAGAACTGCTAGCAGGCATCCCCCACAGCCCCGGGAACCAGCAACAGAGGCCCCGGGGCAGAGCCGTCCTCCAAGCCCTCCGCCCTTAAAGAAAAGGAAGAGTCCATGGGAAAGGCAGCAAGAAAGGGCCGCTGGTAAGACCCAGAAGCCTTGGCAGGAGGAACAGGCTCGAAAACCTCCGTCCCCCAACCCGAACGGGGCAGCCCCCGAAAACCGCCCGAGTCTCGGCCCCAACTAAACCCCGCCCCGACCCCGAAACCCGCAGACGGTCCGGAGCCGGGAACAGGGAGGGAAAGGGGCGAACAGCACCTAACCAAAACGGGGCGGCCTCGGGGCATCCGAGTGGGAAACCAACCTAGCATGTTGCAGCAACCTAACCTAGCTTGCAACACGGATGCCGCCTGTACTCTGAACAGTAATAACATCAGGAGAGTACTGGAGAACAAGCAGAGAATATCTCTCGCAAGACTCCGGGTCAAGGTGTCAGTGACCCAACAGGCAACATGACGGAGGTAAAAGTGGCGACTGTCACCCGGAGACAAGGGCACAGCAACCAACGATCCCGTACAAGACGGGTTGGAACCCGGAAGACACATTCAATGGTCCCCCGAGCCCAGACAGGGGTTTCCAGGGCCCGTAGGCTGACTGCTACGGGAAGCCCGGGCAAGGTGTTGCTAACCGGTTAAGAAACCCAAAAATAACAAGAGGGTAGAGGATAGCACTGAAAACCCCTGCGACGTGTACAATCACGGGGGCCTAGCAGAGGGCCGCCAAACACTACCAGTGGAACTATAGCCACACTAGGCAGACCCCCACCAGGCATGAAAATAAAAACAAAAGAAAAACCCCGCAAAAGTACACCGTCTCCAGAGGCAACAGGAACCGGTCGCCGCTTAGGTGGCAGGCTGCGCAACACCTTGACGCCCTAACCAGCACAATACCAATCCCTACCCAGGGCCAAACAAGGGCCCCAAGCCCCAGCTGGCCCCAAGGGCGAGGCAAATGCCGAGCAGCAAGAACCTCTACGGGAATGGTTCCCGAACGCCCCAGGGAAGATAACCCTGTTACGCAGGGGCAGTACTCACAGGGCGCTTAGGGAAGTCAGCCACTAAGCGCATGCAGCCCCGGCACTGATGAGGTACTCCTGGCCACCGCACAACACAACACACGGCAGTGAACGCCACACAAGGCAAACACCGCCTAGGAAACTGAGGCCAGAGAAGCGTCTATCCCGGTTGACATTAGCTTACGAACTGAAGCTTGGCAGCCGGCGCAGTAGATCCGGGGCTCCCCCCTCCCCCTCTCGGGGCGGGGAGGGCTGCACAGACGATCGGCGCGGCAGTAAAGAGTGATGTTTGCTTGTTTACTTGTTTCCTTGGGATTGTAGGGAGTTTCTACCTCTCTGTTTTTTTGTTTTAGTTTTGTTTTGTTATGCCTACCTTTCTGGGTGCCTAACCCCGGTCGATGGCAGATAAGGAAAACCCCAACCACAAGGGGGTTTTCCAGGGCCACTGCTCCCTGAAACCTCTCTGAAGGGGCCATGTTCTGGTGCTGGTCCCTGGTAGGTCTGAACTCCTTAGCTAATGTCCCAGTCTAATATAACATACATTAGCCCGATAAGCTCCAGGGAGCCGTAGGGGCTCCCCACAGAAAGTCCTGGGTTTGTATCCTTGCCGGGGAGGATTTACTGGACGCAAATCCTTAACTGTAGCCACAGTTTAACCCAACAGAAAAATGGGTACCTGGTTGTTGCCCGAAATGGTATACGTATTAGTGGCTTAAGATATTGTATGTACTAGCTCTAGCTATTAATCCAATATTATGTTTGTAACTCTGCATCTATGTATGTACTTTTCCTGAATAAAATATTATTATTATTATTATTATTATTATTATTATTATTATTATTATTATTATTATTTGGAGTATTCCAGGTAACGTAGAATTAAGGACCTGCCCGAAACGCTATGCATGCTAGTGGCTGTACAAGAATGTAAGAACTCTTGTATATATAAATAAATAAAACAATAAAAACAAGTTGCCCCCCCCCCCCACCTGAAGGGTCTTCAAAATTCCCCATGAACCTTGACATGAGTTGATCTGCATGTCTTTTCCAATTAATGTTCCCAAAACTCTGCACTTACCCGGTGAAATTCCTGCGTACCAAGACTTACCCTAATTTTTCCTTCTACCCAAGGCTTACCAATTCCAAAATTCCTTGCATATACTGCATCCCCCTCGTTAAAGAACAATTTCTCTCCCTGAGCCAACTGACTGGCCAAGCTAGTTACCGATTTCTCTTTATCTGGATCTGTCTTTAATGCTTCCATGTGCACTTTAAAGTGCCTATTAAACAGTAATTCAGAAGGAGATTTACAAGTAGTAGAATGAACAGGTCTTCTTTGATTATACAAAAATCTACAAAACCTTCCGTAATTAATGGTACCTTCCGTAAACCGCTGTAACCCTTCCTTCAAGGATCTCACTGCTCTCTCCACCAGACCATTTGAAGAAGGATTATAGGGGACAGGTGTTACATGCTTATTAAAACCATTTTTTCTAAAAAAAAAGTCCTCCATTTCCCCAGAAACAAAATAAGGAGCATTGTCTGACACAACCATGTCTGGCAATTACAAATTACAAAATGATTTCCTTAGCAGTTCACAAGTTACAGATAATGTGGTGGAATTGCACACATGAACATCGAGAAATTTTGTGTATGAATCCACCACCACCAGGTAATATTTCTTATCCATAGGTCCAGTATAATCTATATGAAGTCTAGACCAGGGTTTCCCAGAGCATGGCCAGGAAAGTACTGGGGCCTGTGGTTTCTAATAATTCTTAAAGCAAATGTGACAATTTATAGTCACCTCAGCAATATTCTGGTCTATTTTTGGCCACCAAACCCAACTATACTTCTAGCTTCTGCTTTCATACCATTTATGCCATTATGGCCTACATGCAGCTGTTCAACAGTCTTACATCTTAGTTCCCCAGGCACCACCACTTTATTCCTATACAAGAGTACATCCTGGTGAATACTAAGGTCAGCCTTTACCGCAGCATACTCTGACAATAATAAAGTATTATTCCAACCATATTTGACATATTTTATCAACAGATTTCATTTGGGATCTCTACTAGTTGCCTTCCTAATAGTCTAGAATGAAATATCCTCAAAAGACATAGATTCCACCAGGTTAACATATTCCACTGGAATACTAGAATTCAATTCTTCTGTCACAGGCAATCTACTTAATGTATCAGCTACTATATTATCCTTGCCTGGCTTAAACTCTAAATTATACTCAAACTGCTAGAGTAGCAATGCCCATCTTTGAATTCTAGCATTAGCATTAACTGGAATTTGTTTACCTCTACCAAACAATACTAGATTCACTGCCCTGCCATTGGAGGGGGCAGTCGTGATTGAGCTCCCCAGTTGTTGCATGGTGCTGCCAGAAGGAGGGTCGCTGTTGGTGCGCCGGATAACCGGTGAGGCGACTGGCGCTATGGCGTCGCTTGGTGCCCCCATTCGGCACATCGATACTGTGGCGCTCGACTACTCTGCGCCTGCTGATTGGCCTGTGGTGGAGATTGCGATCCTGGACGTTTTACTGGTGGATGTCGCCGATCTTCAGGACCTGGAGAGATTGTCGCCTCAACGTGTGGGAATGAAGTTTGCCTCGTCATCTGGTTTCCATTGTTTCGTGAGCCGCAGTGTTGGCTGTACATTTCCACTGATAGCAGCAGTGGGATCCAGAATTATTTTTCGGGAAATGAAAATTCAAGTACCCAACATCGCTTTGTGTTCCAGCCGCCACCGCCACCGCCATCAGCCGCCTCCATAAGCCGCCATCCTGCCACCCACGCATCAATTATTGTACCAGTCCGGGGTCCTGTTATCAGCCACTACTCTAGGTCGACGATTTCAAAAGTAAAGCGCAATATTTGCAAGAGAGAACGAAATTTCATCAGCTAAGGGGAGAGTAATTCGCTGCCAGCGTCTTTTAATTTCCCCGCCACGTGGGAACCTGCACCACCACCGCCACCCAAGCCCACATCAACAAGCCTTGTGTGTTGCCTGTACAAGTTCCATCCACCAGTATTCGTTGCCTTGTAAGGTTGAATGTAGACACAGTAGACACTTCTGTATATTTATTGACTGAGACAACAAGGTGTATATCTGACCAGCCGAGGTCCAATGAGTCTGAGTCTGTCGGGAGAACTAGTTTATCGGCAGCATTGTTAATAGCCTCAAACACTTCACCAATTTCATGTTTAACACCAAAATTTTGTTGCTCAATGATCGGTTTAGTATGCTCTGGGGCAAAATGCATTAAAGTCCCAAATGCTATCATCTTGGCCATAGCCTCAGGGGACAGATTATTGTCTTTATCTAACCAAGACGAACTATTCATAGCAGAGACTAAGGCATACAGATACTGATCGAGACAGCTAGTAAACGCATTAAACGATTCACCAGGCTGCATGGTGGCATTGGCAATTTTCTTGACTAACCTATACGGGTCTCGGTCTCCTTTGTTAACAAAGCGCCGGCGAAAGAAATCCTTAAATTGAGACCAAGACTGGAGGCTAACAATGGCTTTCTCATCAACAACAACACGTGCATCACCTTTGGTTGTGCCCACAGCTGACCGTGTCGGTATCAGTAGGCTTAGAAAAACGTGCAACTGTTTTCGCTTCAACCTTACTAAACCATGACTCTAATAAGCGGGATTCACCAGCAAAAAGAGAAATAGTCATTTCCTGAGCTGACCTCTGGACATTGGGACGAGCAACTGCTCCCGTTGAGTCTGAAGGGGTTTCAACAGTGGTAGGCATTATCACAGCCGTGGAAGTAATGTTTGAACGCAGATTATAATTAAGTGCACCTGGCATCAGAAATGGTATACACAAAAATAAACACTCAAAATAAATATCAACTTGGCTAAAGTAAGAAAATGGCACAAATAAAATTATTAAATTGGGCTAGGCAACAAATAATTAAGAACAAGCAAAATTGTGAATTAAATTACCAATCTTTCATTAAAATGGCTGGAATTAGAAGCATATAAATTAATTAAACCAGGCTAAGCACAGCAATGTAGAATAAAAACTGGAAAGTGCAATTGCAAAATTTCATGCAACAGGTACTCTGAGAGAGAACTCTATCAACATCAGAGGCCCGAGACTGTTCAACTCGCTTCCGCTACACATAAGGGGCATAACTGGCAATCCCCTCACAGTGTTCAAGAGAGAACTGGATAAGCACCTCCAAAGGATACCTGATCAACCAGGCTGTGACTCATACGTCAGGCTGCGAGCAGCCGCGTCCAACAGCCTGGTTGATCAGTCCAGCAACCAGGAGGCCTGGTCGACGACCGGGCCGCGGGGACGCTAAGCCCCGGAAGCACCTCAAACAACTCAAGGGTGCGACTCTCAAGTTGTTCCGCGATTCGTTTTCTTCGCCTATATAGGGAACGACGTTCCCGTTCCAATCTGCATCTCTTTCTCTTTTTTCTTAGGGGTATGCGGTTTGAACATATTTCTAGCGCTACTGCGCTTATTTTTTCCAGGCACTGGTTCAGGTTTGCATTTTCTAGCTGAAAAGTGAATTGAAAAACTGTAAAACTTTTGCTTTATTTAAAAGCAAAACCAAAAAGTGCCTAATTTCATCTTCTTAGTTTCCTACACTGAGCTTTAAATTGCTCTGTACCTAGTGTTACCCAATCTCCTAATTTTTATGTATTTAACCCAAACAACCTTATCATTGTGTTCATTGCTGTCTTCTTGTATGTGCTAGCCATATGCTGTATTGTGCCTACCAATTTTTGTTAAACTACCATTCAAGCTGTCATTGCAATCAAGCTGAGCTACCTATGTGCTTTAATATACCTACAATTTTCTCTCATCTTTTATTTTTCTTGCCATGTAACTGTTATCATTTTTTATAAATTTTGCAAGTATTTACCTACTTAAAATTTTCTTAGATTAAGGACCTGCCCGAAACGCTGCGCGTGCTAGTGGCTTTACAAGACTGTAATTACCATATTTGTATCCTCACATTCCTTATGTACCTTCTGGTATATGCATAAATCAATAAATAAATAAATTTTATTGACTCAGGTGTTCTGGACGACATCCTAATAATTTATCCAAAATTTGCTTGTCCATTTTAAAGAATGAAGAACAATTTTTATTTATATTACTTCTAAGCTGCATCACTTATGAACCCATCCCTGCCCTTGTGTGGCAGTGCACATCCCTGCCCTTGTGTGGCAGTGCACAATAGAAAGTTTTCACATATCCATACATTAAAACATTGATTGTAACCATGATATATATGTGCTTCAGCCTACAGTTTAGACCTATTGTCTTATGTATGACCCTCTATCCTGCGTGACAGTGAATACCACCATTATCCTCACTTTAATAAGACTATCAAAATCCTCAGATTAGGCAAAATTGTAATTAATTTTGTCAATAAAGGTGTTAATAATAATAATAATTAACTCTACGAACAAAACACGCTCACTTTCATCTTACACGGGCGACACAACGTCTCGGGAGACACCGAACGTCCCCTTAACTCAAAACACACTCACTTTCATTTTTCACACACCTGCTCTTGCTGATGTTACTGATCCACACCCGTTCCTATACTTACTCATTCTACCCTTACACACTTATACCCCCATAGCGACACACAACGTCCCAGGAGACGAGGAACGTTCTACCCTCACGCGCCAGGGGAACCTCTTACACCCACTGAGACGTGACTTCCGTGACTACCTGTGACAGGTGTGCCCAATTGTACACCTGTCACTGGTGTTGCGGACGGTGTACGTCTCAATTTACGCTACTCCTCATAAGGTTATGACTAAAGACATAGATACTGTCTGCCTCCAAGAAACCCTTACTCCTGCAGGTAGAACCCCGCAGAATCTGCCTAGTTATTAGTGTTATAATCCCAGATTAAAAAATACGCGTCTCATGTATGTTAAAAAATTACTGCCGCATGAGCCACTTCCTGCTCAATAACGAGAGAGGTTTCAATATCATGGTATCCGGGTACACGTTGGTAACTCTACACTTAATGTTTTGAATGCCTATGCACCTACTGGCCTCCTCCAGTATACTGACCTACCTAATTTTGCACATACTGACTCTACAATCTTAATTGGGGGATTTAAATGCTAAACACAAACAATTAGAGAATCAACTCACAAACACCAACGGGAGAAGATTGTTGGCACTTCTCGATGCATATGGTGATGTTCAAATTATCATTATCAGTAAGAATCAACCAACACAAATATATGGAGGAGTACTCGATAGGTGCATTGGCTTTAACCTGTCATACACAACTCATGAGACTGATATTATGGATGACTTAATGTCTGACCATTTAGCCATAACAGCTAACATACACGTGGCTAATGTTGACCTACCTGGCACTAAGCTGAGTAGACGCAGGCTAACAGTAAGGAAAGAGCAAGAAAAGTTCTTAATAGACAGCATAGAACATTGGTATGACAATCATGAGCCTGAGAATGTACAACAGTTTTATGATAAATAAATTAGGGAATAAAACCTATGAGACAATAAAAAATAGTGAGTCACACCAAATAAAGACGTGCCGGCAAGCAGATCAGACACAACCAGTACTATGATGATGCTAAACTGAAAGAACATAAATCAATTGCTAGACAGACAGGTAAAGCATATAAGAGCCTTAGAACTCCTCAAATGTTAAAACTGTTTCAGGCCGCGCTTGCAGCGGCAAGGGAGAGAATGACTGAACTGAGACAAAATGAATGGGAGGGTTTTGTTAGTGGACTTAACCTGCATACTCCCCTGGGCAAAGCCTGGAAAGGCATAAACAAAATTATTGGTAAAAATAATAGACAGGTTTCTCATCCAAACCCGCTACAGAAAGCGAATCAGTTAATTACAAAATGGGCTCAGGTTTCCAGCTTTGGAATGTTACCAGCTAGCACTATGGAGAAATTGCGGGAGAGATCCACAGACAGAAATTCTCTCATAAATTTCATGTTGAGCAGGCAACATGATGAATGTGATATTCCATATACAGATTATGAATTGGATGCAGCCCTCTCCAGGGGCAGCAGCACTGCTCCTGGTGAGGACGGTATCACCTATGATATTCTAAGATTCCTACATCCTGTACCCTATAATCCATTATTAGAATTGTTTAATGCTAGTTATGTCCCTGGGCAGCTGCCTGTATCATGGACCACCAGTCTTACGGTACCTGTACCAAAGCCTGGCCAACCTGATGCTTTCCGTTCCATCTCACTGACTAGTTGATTGTGCAAAACCTTTGAGAGAATGGTGCTTAATAGATTGTTGTATAGAGTTAAAGAGCACATGTCACCTGATATCAATGTCACTGGCAATGATTTCACAAATGGCAAAAGTGTACACAACTGTATCACAACCTTTCTCATTGTTCATGGAGATATAAGGCGCAAGTACACAACATTTCTTGATTTAAACAATGACTTTGATATTGCTAATAGAGAAGAGATTCTGTATGAATTAGCAAGAATGGATATAGGTGGACAATTATTACAATGGATACGGGGCTAACTTACCAACCAGAAGTCCTCTGCACTGTTCCAAAGCTACAAGAGTGAAACTAGATTAAGACTA